TGTGCGTAACGTACTCACGTATCTCGTGTGCACGGTTCTCGCGTCACGTGTTTGCAGGGTCGCGGTCCTCCGAAACGGCTCGACCGATTTTCACGAAATTTTTTTCCGTGCATTTGGTAAGTCCGAGAACAGGTCGTAAAGCATTTTTCACCCCCTCCCCCCTCCTACCGTCACCGACTGTTTTTTTTTTTTTTATCGCGATACTAGTGTTTTCGGTTACGCGCATACACACGAGCAACGCCAAATAATTTAGTTCGCATTATATAACAAATACAATTGTTGTTTTTGCCGATTTGCGTTGTGCCGCACCGGTAACATGGATGAAAAAAAATGGCGATTAATTATTATTAGAAATCAGTCGGAAAATATCACGCGACCATCGAAATCGGTCCGGCCGTTTTTGATTTGTAAACGGTGCGCAGCCAACCCGAGACTTTGTTTTATTTATACGCGGTTTGTGTTTATTCAAGGGTTGCCGCGGAAAAGAAAACTATCGGAACCGTTATCGTCGCCGTTATTTACACTTATTTCGAATTTCACGACAGTACACATTTAGAGTCAGCCGGCGGCGGACTACCGCCTTTCCACCTGTTTGTCGTCGTTCAATTCTGACGCGGCCAAAACCAAAAATGAACGCGGGTAAAACAATATAAATACGAATTGGCCCGGGCAACGCCGGGCGCGGGACAGATTGTATACACATAATTATGATTTTCGTCGAGCGTGCGCCTTTAAAAGCTTTGAACTTCCGAACGCCGGTTTCGTCGCCTGTATTTGTACACTTTAACAAACGTCTCGAGATCTAGTTGCCGTACTTGTTTCGGTACGAATTTTTTTATTTCATATTGTAACAGCAGTAAGTCAGTCGGGAGAATTTTTTTTTTTTTTTTTTTCGTGTTGATAAACAACTCCTTCTGCCAGAAATCTCGAACCGATCAAAAACCTTGACATGGCGTTTCTTTTAACCAAATCGAAACCAGATTCTACAGTCATTTTTTTAATTTGCCTTGTTGTTTTCTTTATAAATTGGTAAAACCAACCATTATTGGTATAATTTATGTTAGACATACGGGGAATAATATTTTGCTCAGAATCGTTTTACATTAGCCATGGTTTATCGTTGTGCACAGATATTAATTGAATTACTTTGTATATCCTATTATTTTTTGTCAACTTTTAAAACAGTGACACTGCCATCAGCAGTCTATTTCTGTATTAGTATTTTTTTTTTTTTTTTTAACAGATGATGCGATTTTATTTTTGAATTTTTACACGTATTATTTATCGAAGAAGACTTAAAAGAAATAGGAATTCACACATGGAGAGAACTGTTGCGTGACAGGGACAGGTGGCGCAATGTTGTTTTGACGGCAGCAAAAACCCTTAGAGAGTTAGATAAGAGCCACAAGAAGAATAAGAAGATTATATTTACTCTAAATTTTTTTCACGTCACTTTTACACACTTCTACACCGGCTTTCTCTGGACCAATTTAACTCAAACTCGTAGAAATTTTAGTCGTTTTATTAGCGGTCCGAAGTGATACGAGTTAAATGTCAGTATGAAATTTGGGTTAGATTATTTATGATACATTTAAGTTTTTCGCCCAGTAGTGTTCGTTATTATCATACAAAACACAAATATTAATCTATTCAAAACGATATCGTCGTGTGCAGGGGTGGAGCGGGAACCAAATTCAGACCGGGAGGTTAACATTTTTCCGGGCCAACCAACAGAATACGTAACTACCAAAACAAAATTTGTCTCTCGTTTTAATTTGAACCCGTGACGAAGCCAGAATTTTGAATCGAGGAGGACTATACATACGGTTTGACCGACTTGAGACACGATGGAAGGCAAAAGGGGGGAATGGGGAGTTTCGGCCCGGCCGAAAATTTAAAAAAGCGAAATACTGGACTAAGAACGTAATGCGTCTTGGCGCAATTTTTCGTAAAGTCTTTAAACAATACGATGAACTAAGTTACGTGCAATTAAAATATTATAAACAAATATCGGATCACCGGCGGTCGTTCCGGCGATCGGCGAAAACGAAAAAAAAAAAAAACACACGCGCACGCACAAAATAAAACGTCTTGCTGTCGTTTCGGCGGCCCGCTCATATCGCGGTCGGCGACAACTAGAGCGCGTTGACTATCATACATTTCGAACTAGTATCGCCTATAATATTACAATAACGCGGATACCGGCGGGGAAACGGGATTGGGGGAGGAAATAAAACCGTTGTTTTTACGCGAAATCGATAGACTCGACGGAACACAACCCCCCGCGACACGGTTCTCGGTCAATATGTTTGATGACCGATTACTGTTGCAGCGTCGTCGCTGCGATATAACCGTCTGTTGTTCCGTCGTAAAAATGATTATAATATTTGCGCGTGAAAAGGGGACGGGAACAAAAAAAAAAAGAACGAATACAAATTCGAGTGCGCGCAGTGTTGGCCGAGTCTCGCGCGCGCGTATAATTTTATCGAACGCATTAACGTAATTACCGAAAAAGTGTAGCGTGGAGAGTGGTATAAAAAAAAAAAAAAAACATACGAACACATACACGAGCGTGCGAGCGAGCGCGCGCACACACACACACATACACACACACACACACGGTCGACACACTATATCGAAAATCAATATATTTTATTGTATTAGCATTTTTTTTTTTTTTTCCCCTCCTCGTCCCCGGTGACAAATCACCGCCGGCGATATTCCGGCGTGTGTGCAATTCGCGCTAAGTGTGTGCGGATTTAACGTTACACCCGCGTGGCCGCCGCGCATTACCCCCGCACCCGTCGCTACAAGACACCCCGGCCGCCGTCGCGCTACGCGCGCGCGGGATATCGGTAATAACACCGTCGGAGGACTTATGTTTCGTACACGCGCGCGCCCCGCTTTCGGGGCCGCGGACTCGTTTAATGGATATTATTCATTTCTGGTCAAGTACGACGGCCCGCCCGCCCGCCCGCCGTTGACGAAATCTCCAGAGACGGCGACGGCGATACGGCCGCCGCCGCGCGGTGGGGGGGGGCGGGGGGCGACGGCGCGGTCCGCGCGGGCCTTTTGCGACGGGCGTACAAGTGGACGGGCGCGCGCGCACACACGGATATACACAATACAGCGCGACGGCGTCGGAAACAGATTTGCCGTATTTCATTACGGGCGCGCCCGGCGCTCGGATCTGGCGCGCCGCCGACGGGGTCGCGTCTCCGGGCGCGCGTACGCCGCGGCACGCGCGCACGTTGTCGCGGGATGGAGCGCCGCGGGACGATCGACTCGGCGGGAGCGTTGCGGCGATAACAGCGAGAGACGCGAAAACGAGAACGGAACGAACGAAAACCGTCGCGGCGCGAAATAATAATAAAAGAAAAAAAAAAATAAATAATACGCGGGCCCGACGGTCGAAACGAGCGGTTCGGGTTCGACGCCCCCGCGCGTCACAAACGTTACGATCGCCGCGTTTGCGACCACGCCGGCCGTCCGCGTTGACCGCGTCGAAGTCCGGCTGCCGCGGCGGACACGCCGGCGTTCTGGACCGACACCGACGGGCCGCGCGATTCCGACGGTGTCGGACCAGCGGCGCGGCCGAGGCGTTTTCCGTTTCAAAAGGGGCGGTGGGTTTTTTTTTTTTTTTTTTTATTTCGCGTTCATACGTAACTCGGACGGGGCGCGTGCGACGAACCGCCGCGCCCGGGCGCTTCTCGCGGAAACCAGACGCCGAAACGCGCCCGGCCCGCCTGCCACCTCGTCGGCCCACGAACCGGCGTCGTGAGGTACACCCGATCGGTAAACGGAAATTCGCGGACCGTTGGAAATCCGGTTGGCGACGTCGAATTCCGGTACCGGGTCCGCCAACGAGATGAAATCAACAATCTATTGTGCTTTAGATTCTGAGGCGGAGCGACAAAAAATATCTTCATTGTACAATGATGTTTATTTTTTTATTATTATTTCTGTGAACAACTTTTTCACCGGAAATCTCGCTCCGTAGTATTTTTTCTGAAATGAAATCTGACTGGGGTCGTGATGCTTAACATGGGAAAATCGGGTAAAAGGTTGCGATGTTGAACAAATAATATTTACGAAAACGTTTAATGCCTATTTCGTTATTTCACCGTAACGTGATATATTATTATATTGTTGACGAATCAACACTTTCAACCGAATTCCGCTCACAATCGTTTTTTCCTTAGCAACGGTTAATCTTCGCGTACAGACGTACGTCGAATTCCCGTCTATATCCTACCGACCCAACTTCCCATCAACACCAGTGGCTGCACCCGTCCCCATTATCTAAAGAAGGCTTGCTTTTTTTTTTTTTTTTTTTTTTTTTAAATTTTCATTATTACATTATTATTTTGAATAAACATTGTCGAATTTCCGAATACGCCCTAACGCGTACGCCCTACGGTGACATGACGCCTCCGTCGCGTACCGTATTATTATTATTTATATTAAACGGGTATTTTTCTACATTTTTTTTTATTGTCGTCTAACTTTTTTGTATACGCCCTCTACCACCTACCCTCTCACGCCTTCGCCGTCCGGTTCGGAAACGGGTGAACTCGCCATAAACTATTTTTTCCCCATCATTATATTATACACATAATATTATTATTGTTACTATTATACAACTGCGCAAGACGAGTGCGCCGGCGCCGGGTACAAAGGCCGCGTTTTTGCATGTCGTAAAGCTATTTTCAAGAGGGAAACGCACGAAAAGACCGTGGATTACGTAATATCGGGATCGGAACGGAAAATATCGAAGAAAACAATGTACGAGTGGTTGATCGGATGACGACCTGCAGTGTGCGCATCGCTGGATGCGAAAGTGATCGTACCGCGTGTTTAGAGTGGCGTACAGTATGGAAGCGGAAACGGATTTAAACGGCTAGTTCTATAATGAGATCCATAGTAAAAACTATTATTATAATTTCGATTTATTCGGCCATCCCGTCTCACATGCAATAATCCTCCGCAGCTATTCATCATCAGAAATCTTCCGATTTGGTTCGTCCCCTGTTTTCGGTACTACGTATTTTCACTTCGCCCCTTGGCCTTTTCAACGGTCTTTTGTCTATTGGGTATTGTTCAATCACTGCCAGTAGTGGGATTTCGCTTCTCCGTGCGCGTTCGTCGTAGTCGCGTCCTTTGATGATCCCTAAATTATTATTTTCTCCGAACGCTAAATGTATAGATCTCTGCTTTTTTTCTCCGTCCCCGCTTGACGGTTGTAACGTTGTTTTTGCCGATCCAAAAGTCGTCCGAAATATTTTCCTTAAAAAAAACGAATGAAAAACAAAAAATAAACCGAGGAAATTCACGACGTAATAATGAAATCGTGGATGTTTAATAGGAACATTACTTTGTCTCGGTGTTGCTCGCATACCGCAATAATATAAACAGACGGTCCTGATTTCTTGTAGTGTCGGTTTGCGAATTTAGGAGTGGATAATCTAAATTTGTTGTATTAATAATCAAACACTTTTATTAGTGTTTTTAAAAAACTGTAAACATATTATAATATAATATTAAATGTTACACTAAATTCATCGACACATTTTTCTGCTAAATTAAATTCTTCGACTTTTTTTTTTCCAGTGTAAACTTATCGTTCATAATCCGGATAAACAATTATCACACATTAGACAACCGCGAGTCAGTTGTCCACCAAAATATCTACGAATGATAAACAGTTGTAGTGGTCGGCGCCAACTCCAAATCATAGGGTAATAAATAATCATTGTACATTGGAATTCTATTATCACGACATATACCTACCTACCAACTAGATACCAGTCAGGGTGTATTGATAAATACCAATAATGAACTTTGGGATTTCGAGACATTGAATTTGGATATAATTATTATTTTGACTTGTTGGAAAGCTAGGGGTGGGCGGACTCACCTACCCGTCCCGTTTTTGTAACGGCCTCAGTAGACAACGCCGTATCCATTATTTTACGATTCGCGGATAAATCGTGTAAGACTATGCATTATTCATCGAAGCGATAAAAAATAACCTATTTATGTCTGACGGGTCGTCGGTAAGGGGACGTTCGAAATCACCGAGACAAACTTCGCGAACACGTCAGCGTCACTGCACAACGGATTCTTCAAATATCCCCGATGTTTAACGGTCAAAAGGTGCTCTCCATTATGCGCCTTAATCCACGTCGAGAGATCCCGTCCTCAAAAGAATAAGCCATCCGTGATCAAGCAGCCAACAGACACCGGAGTGGTATTACGTATAGGTATATAATACAGAGAATAACATTTAGTCAACACTCGTACGGTGCAGCGTTATTCGCACTCCCGAACTTTAACAAGTTTTTAATCAAAAACCGAACTTTAAACGCGTAAAAAAAAAAAAAAAGGTCGAGATTGCGGATTTGAAATATTTGTATAGCGCAATAAGAACAACTTGCGTACAATTTTCGAGCGTTTATAGGGTAGAGTCACTGGCTAATTTGTAAACATTTTTTTATTAATACTTGATTTAATTTATCCGATTGTCGCAAAAAAAATCAGCCGAAATTCTCCAATTTGGATTTGAAAGTGTTAAGAACAGGGTGAAAAATTACTATTTATATTTTAAAATTGCGTTTCTCCGTTATAATGTCATAATTCCTACATGCTGTCTATGATTTTGTACTAATTGATATGATTGAGACGCGGGTTTTAATGCAAATCGCATTTTTTTTTTTTTTCTGAATTTCCTTAAACAATGCGTTTCAAGCGCAAAATTCGTTTCATATATGTTATCAAAAAACTAAAATATGAAATTTTATTTTGTAATTTTTTGCATTTTTAGGTTTTGAAGGATTTTTTTCTTCGTTTTACAAACGTTATAATATTATCAGAAAATTTGATAAAATGTATTTTGATTTCTTCCTGAAAAGAAAAAAATATTTATACTTCCGTTTTTAAAACGTGTTAGGTGTAGATTTACCAATTGTACCAGACGAATACGACGCCGGCCGCAATAAAGTAAACGTTTTTTGAGGTATTTTTCTTGGTTTTATTTTTTTTACGCGTTTAATTCCGTACCCAACACAAATAAAATCCGAAAATCCGATTTTCAATCGGTAAATCGAGCTGAATTTCGGCTCGGCTGACGCGCACAAATTTCGGTACCGAATCGCTAAACGAATATAGACGCGGATGTCGTATGGAAAAGCCGACGGACGGCGCGATGGGGGATGGGGGGGATACGTCCCCGAACTCTCCTCGCCCTGCGCCCGGAGAACTCCGTTCGCGGACGGGAAAACAAACGCGACGTTTTAGCGGCGCGCGCAACCCGGTGCACAGGCGACGCTTAAAACATAATAATACTGTCGGTTTCGATCGTAAATTTAAAAGTAAAAAAAAAAAAACTGGACCTCCGGCGGCGACGACCGCGCCAACGTCGTTTCAATCGGCGCAACGACACGACGACGGCCGCGGAATACGTTATTATAATTGTTCGCGTTTATTAATTAGATTTTTTTTTTTTTAATCGAATTATGCCGGAAGCGAACGGCGGGCGCAAGACGAAATACGGCGCGACGGCGCGCGGCGTGCGGGAACCGAGCGAGGTTTTCCCAGCAGCTCGCGTCCGCGAACGCGACGCGCGCCCGGCGCGCGGCGGCAGGGCACGGCGCCGGGCACTCGAAGGATCGCGCGGCCGAAACGAAACCGTTCGCGCAATACCGCAGCCCGGCGATAATATATTCATGCGCGAAAAGGGGTTAGGTTAGGTGTTATGTTACTTTTATTTATGGCCCGCGAGCGGATTTACGACCGTAAAATCGCGGCGACATAGGTGGGTACACACGCGCGCGCGGAGAACGCTGTCGGCACCGTGTCCGCCCCCTCGAGGACGCGCAGTTTTATAAGATTTATTCGCTCGCGAGACGGGGGAAACGATTTCAGTGTCTAATAACGAGATGAAATTACCATAATACGCTTAATTCGTTAAATTAAATAGGCGGCTCCGTTAAATCTGACGGTTTTCACCGAAAGCAAAAAAAACACCCACATGCACACGCGCGCGAAACGTGCCGTAAACTCGCCGAACGAAATTCTCCGGGTTGCCCGGACGTCGTGGCGTTATTAATTCGTACGCTGGTCGTTCGCGATCGGTTTCTGATCCGGACGGGTCCTAATAGTCAGAGATCGCGTTATCGTTTTGGTTTATCATATTGTTTTTGTTTGCGCTATTGATTATTTTCGTTCGAATGTGCAACCCGACATGTCTTTTGTGCGTATTTGTTAAATGCTCGGTGAAGAATGTCGGTGGGATATACGAAATTGAAAAAACATTAATTGATCTGTGTGCTAAATGCAGGGAAAAAGTTGGACATTTAAAAATTAGGAGATCGAAACGGACGTGGACTTTAAAGCCTTTTTAACAATATGAACATTAATGCCGATAATTGTGAAAACAGATGGGGCGGGTTTTTGTATAAAATTATAAAAAATTGATTTTTTTTTTTCTTTTCTTCGTATCTTATCTACTTTAGTCGATGGATTGACCGACGGGGGGCAGGCGGAAAAATTAGATGCTAGGTGGCCATCGAAATCGTCAGTACCGTTCATTTCTAAACTGAATATTAAATTTTTAAATTTCAAAACGCACGTGTAACAAACGTTTTGTTACAAGACACAGGATTCATTCTTATCAGGTTTTATATCTCATCTATATTCTACAATCACGGACAGTCCGAGAGTTTGTTCGACACGCGTCCCGACCATTTCCCACAAAACTCCGAATCTATGATTTGATCACGCCGGCGCACGTGCAATCAACAACTACAGTCCTGGGATTCTGTGTTGGAATGAACCTATTGTATTGTGGTCGGTTTCGAATCCGACGGTCATCATATTCCGTTCGTCGCGGTTTCCCTGTTCCCCTCCGTTATTCAAACCAGTCGCGGTTAATCATAGATTGTAGATTTTCGATTTACAATTTAGGACGGCGAGTTTCTCGGAGCGATCGATGCGGGTTCTGGGCCGAGATCGATAAACACTCAATACGCAATAACACGTTTATTATTGTTATAGTCGAGACCCGTGTGTGTTATCGATATCAATTATTATTACATTTCAACGAGCGAACCGATCGGAGAACCAATCGGATGATTCCATTTCTCTTTTCAAAAACACGCATTCGTCGACAGGTTTTCGGGACGGTTTCGTTACGCGGTCCTCGGTTAGTGCGCGTTTTCCATATTATCGTCAGTCCCGTAATCCCCGTAGGAGAATCTGACCGGTGTTCTGTACTCTCGGAGATGTTAATTTTTTCCCCCGTCTCCTTTGGTTTATAACGACCCGGTATCGCGTACCACACATATCGCGTGATCATTGTGCCGGGCGCGAACGCTCGGAACGGGTATACGCGTACGTACGAGCGTATCGCACGCGTAATGGTATTCTTTTGATCCATCGATCTCTGACGGGAATTTCGATTGGTTCGAAAAAATTTCCCGGCGCGCGCGAAATCGGTTTTTTTTATGAATAATACATAATTTTTTCGCGTAAATACTGTGCACGGCCTATACAAACGCGCGAAACGTCTAGAGCGCGCGCGTGTGTCTACAATAATCCGTATACACACGCACACACGCACACACACGCACACACATATATATACGCATAGCTAAGATACGCGTATCTAAGTAGTATAATATACAGAACGTACACGAGCATATAAAATAAACACCTTATTCCTTACCTGCCTATAGCATATACACGCATATATATATACATAAATACATGTATATATTATTATCCGCTTTCGTATTTTGTTACCTCTAAGCGCGTAATAATATACAATATATAACACTTTGAAGGCCCTGCGCGCGCCGCGGCGAGCAAGCAGGAAAAGCTAATATTTAATGCAAGTGACAAAATCAGAGGCGTTTGTAATCCGGCGGCGGCGGTGCGGAGACGAGCTGCAAAGGGCCGGCGGGCGGGCGAGGCAATTTTAGACAACCCTTTACAGCTTAAAACGAATATATGTTTATTCGACGTGAAAACCCATGCGTTTAGTTTGCAAAAGTTCAAAGGGCTTTTCCAGTCAGATGTACATTAATTTTCCACGCCGCTGAATGGGATTGCATTAATGAGTTGAACAAGAGTTGATACGTTTAATGGCGTACGGTGCGCGCGTGCAGTTTTGCGCTCCTCGCGCGTATAATATCGCATATAATACGCGTCCGTATATTATAATACAGGGTGTCGTCCTGTGTACAGCGCAGTTATCCGCCGGCAAATAACTCTGTCGATGATATTCATTTATTTTTTTTTAAAACTACGAGAGGGGGACGAGCGCGCGTAGAGAGAGAGAAAATATTTTACTTTTTTTTTTTTCCGACGATTAAGGGGCGAAAATACAAATTTAATAATCTATCTACACACGTGCGTGGTGGTGACACACGAATAGCTGGCCCCTGGCTATCACGAAACCCGGGTAAAAAAAAAGTGAATATCGATAGTGTTATTAGCCGACGGATAACTACTGCACTGTAGGACACCCTGTACAATACAGTACTGAGTACGCGTGGATTCGTAGGTGCGCCTATATTATCATAGCATTGTCTACGAATAATGCTGCTGCTGTTTGTAAGCGAACGCCGCGTAAATGGCAATATTCGATTTTCAGTTTCGTAAATTTTACGAAAATCGTGTTTTTATTGTTTTCAATTTTGTTTTTTGTTGTAATCCGATTAAAAGCGCATACAAATAATTAAACGCAAACGAGTCTTCCGAAATATAACGCAAACTTTATTTGGACTGGCCGTGCTTGTTCTCCGGGTCTTCTTCTCGGAGCTCTCCGGACCGGAATGCCCTTTCACAAAATAATTTAGTAATAACTTATTACCGAGTTATCTATATGTATATAATGTAACATGCGCCAACTGACTGGCTGACTGGTTCGTCATCGCCTAGCCCAAACCACTGGACAGATCAGGCT